TGTGACCGGCCGATTCGAGAGAGCCGATCTAAGAACACGCCACAATGACACACTCGAGGAGACTCGAATGGGGGGAGGGATTCGAGGGCACAGAAGCCGAATTTACGGTAATTTCGGGCCGATCCGCTCCCGATGGAGCGTGCATGATAGGAGGAGAATGGCGAGTTTATACAGTTTGAAACGTCGCTTTCAAGTGGCATCGAATTCCCTCTTCCGACGAATGCGAACAGCGCGTTCGTGTAGATGCTCGGGATAAGATTTCGTCCGATGGTGCTCGGAAATATCGAGCGATTGTTCGATTCGTTCGTTAGATTTGCGTTTGGAAAGCTAGTCAGTTCGACTCAGTTTTACTCAGGTAACGTCGGATAATATTCTGATGCATCCGGCGGATCGCTCGAGTAGGCAGAACCGGTTTTCTCACGTCGCACCTACCGTGGAAGGTGCACACTTTGCCTCTCGGCATACAGTAGCCGCGAGTCAATCATATCACATTGTAACATGAAATTACAAGGCTCGCAACTCTCCCTCGTAATTCTCGTTCCCTCTGAAAACGAAGAAAGATCCTCGTCAGTCAGCCGCCGGGACCTTCGGTTACGTCGGGACGTTTAACGGACGGCGCGCGGCTACCTGGCTTTTCCACGGGACCCCTTAAGAGTTCGTTGGAAGATCGCTGTCTGGGAAATTAGCTAAAACTGGAGCTAAGTGGCTCGGGAAAGCGGAGCCAGCGCAGCACGACGCACGAACGCTCCGAACCATCTAACTCGGTCCGAACCCTCGCTCCTCCGTCAGATATTTATCGCGTTAAAGTGGGATCCGGTTAAATGCAACTCGTGATCTGATTCCTGCGGGATCTAAAAGCTCGCCCCGCCCGCCTGCCCCGCACCGGGGCCGCGGGCCAGATTCGTAGCGGAGATTGAACGACGATGAAATCGGCGTTGCCGAAATTGTTCGCGGACTATCCCGCACACACGCGCGAACGTGTGTGCGACGAGTATAATACGCACCCGATCAAACACACGGGAATATCGAGGGACCTCCGAGGGACCTTCAAGGTGCGAAGCGAATACAGACATGTCGTCAGACAATTAATCGAATCGTTTTCTCCGACGGAAGTCACTTAATTACATTGACAGTCCCGAAAACAAGAGATCTTTCGACCTCTCGCTCGTTCACTGAATGAAAATCCGCGAAAGTATTTGGTGCGACTCTTCCCGAGTCGAAATTTTTTACTCACGTAACGTCGAATAACATTCTGATGCATCCTAATTTCGACCTGAAAATTATATTTAACGCCTACTTTGATGCTCTGAAGCCTATATGAATCTCGTTTGATTCTGTTTAACCTCCCGAGCTGAAATTATAGCTCAACCCGTGTCGAAATTTAGTCTTACATTAAGTTTACTTGGTTCTGCATTAAGTCTTCAAGAGAAAACGGAAATAATTTCCCATCAAAGTGAGCAGGTCTTTGAAGATAGAAAATCTTTGAAGATTTAACGTAGAACTAAATAGATTTAATGTAAATTGAAATTTCGACTCGGGTACCCGAGTCGAACTTTGGTCTTACATTAAGTATATTTAGAGGCGCTAAGTAGGACTAAAGTTATAAATTAAACCTACATTGATCCTCCAAAACCTACCCAGTCGAAATTTTAGTTCCACATTGAGTCTATTTAATTCTGCATTAAGTCTTCAATGGTCTTCTATTGTGCTCCTTTGACGTTACAAATGGAAAGTTATTTCTAATTTCTTCACTTAAAGACTCAATATAGAACCAAGTAGACTCAATGTACGATGAAAATCTTGGCTCGGGTGCAGATGTTAGAGAAAATTCGGGTCGAAAATAGATATAAAATTTCTACTCGGGGTTGTCACGAGACGCAGAGATTTGTCCCGAAATCTCCCGTGACACGAGGGTAAGCTGAGTCACGAAAGTCATGCGCGATCCTTGACGCGCGGATGACGAATAAACGTTGAATATCAATTCCCGGCTACCATTCGCGACTCGTGATTTATCTTCGCGCGCGCTGAACGCGCAGTGTTTTTTTCGCGAGGTGTAACGCAATCCGTCGCGCAATCCGATTACACGTCGGTGACGCATTTTCGGCGACGCGGCGCGAGCGGGCACGAGTGGGTGCGCCGAGAGAGGGTCCTTTCTGTTTCAGAACGGAAGAACGCGGGCTCCCGTCCGCAACATATAATTTGCCTGGATTTAGTCCGATCGATTTTGAGTAGCTACTGTTTCGCTACAGGCGGATATCTTTTGTGGCGCGGTTTTGTGGGCGTACACTTCCCCCCGGGCTAAAACGCCAAATGGTAACGACGATACGCGGAATCGAACGTGGAATGGGAAACGGGGATTCGTTTTGTGCGCACGGTTTTCGGCCGGCGCGCCGGCGAAAAAAGAAACAATTTCCAACCCGGATCCGCCATTCTGGTAACCGGAAAACGTCCACTTCTCGTCTCTTTGTCGCGAAGCTAATTTTCGGGGTTTGCGAAAGGAAATAATGGTAGAGAGGGAGAGAGAGAGAGAGGAAAAAAACTTCGAAACGCTCTCTATGAAACTGTTTTCACCGCGATGAACTTTCGCCTTATCGCACTGATGATTTTTCAACAACACGCGTGCGCGTTCGCAAATCGTGCCGAGAAGCTCGGCGATTTATCGATGATTTATAATCGACATGAAGTTAGATCTCGCAGAGATCTATTTAATTCTGCATTAAGTCTTCAATGGTCTTCTATTGTGCTCCTTTGTCGTTACAAACGGGAAGTTATTTCTAATTTCTTCACTTAAAGACTCAATATAGAACCAAGTAGACTTAATGTACGATGAAAATCCAGACGCTTGACGAGAGTATCGTCGCGCTTCGATCGTTACGGCGAATTTTATATTCGTTCGCCCGCACTATGTGCGTATGCGCTGTACGCACGTATTGTGGAATCAGACAATTTATTTCATTTATGACGTTTGCCCGAACGGCGTTGAGGTCGTGCCTGTGTACGCATGATGTCATGTTACACACGTGCCCGATCATCAAATTGATATTACGTAAATATACCGACACTTCAGCTACAGTTCAATGAAATCACTTTATCGCGTCGAATTTTCCAAATCACGAGCGGGAATAATATTTTCGTTGGTCAATCCGGCGCGGCAATACACAATCGCGAGATAAATATCTCGTCACCGTCGGGAAAAGACATCTCGAATGCGACGAATCCATCCTCCATTCTCTTCTAAAACCCCGGTGTATGTTCCCGGATATATTTTCATTACCGCGGACACACGGCGAGAAATAATTTCACGTCAATCGCCGGGTCCGTCCGCTATCTTGTTACAAACGTCCTTGTCGATTTACACCTGCAGCATCGACAGCCGAACACCCGTCCAATTCGCTTGTTGATCGATATCAGCGATTTTCGGCGGGTGAAGAAAAAAAGAAAGAGTCGTCGCCACTTCAACTTCTTGCCGAACGCGAGCCCTCGGCGGTGATGGATAGGCGCGGAGACGCAAAAGCGGCGCGTAAGGTCGCGCGAATCTGCGGGGCATCCAGAAGCGTAGGAGGCTTGGCGTAAGCGGTAAGCTTTACCTCATTTCTGGCAATTACAGGGGATGCCAGAATCCGCCGCAAGAATCAACCCACTCCGGCCGCGTGTGTGTACCATCCGCCTCTGTTTAGGTGAACCACCCCTTCGCGGTGCGCGTGTGCGCGCACGGACTCGCTCTCGCCCTCTCTCTCTCTCTCTCTGTGTTCGTCCCTCACACACTCATCTCGCATACACGTAGCCACGTAGCAATCGAGCGCGCGCACACACACACCACCCGCACACGCACACAGGCAGACGTAGGCTACACTACCCTCGTGAGGCTCGTACGTACATCTTGGTGGGGCCGAGACGGCGTCATGGGAGCCCGTCCGCCCTCCTCAACCCCTGCGGCAACCCCGTGCAGGAGAGAGGGTTACGTCGAAAGCCCCGGATTGAGCACCACTGCCTCGCCATGTTCCAGGATCTCCATCAGGATTGGTAGACTAAGCGACAAACGGCTCTGCCGATTCGCCCGTTCAGGCCACGCCTCGCGCCCGGACCTCCTCTCTCACTTGTGAGCAGTCTCCGGGAGTAGTTGTGTGCAGCTGCAACAAAGGCCACCCCGGTAGACGACGGCCGGCTAGTCCTCGTTGACACGACGCACGCTCAAGAGCTTCGACCTTAACGGGAAGGTTCCTGGGCCATCTGGCGCCTGGACGAAAGTGAATGAGCCGAGGACCAGATCGGGTGTCCCGTTAAGAGATCGGGGGTTACGCTATACCTCAGTCGATTTCACTTTTCCTGATCCACGTAAGTGATTACGCAGCGGCTCGTAGCCCAGAGTCGCTGGGAGGTTTCGGATTCTGAAACCGGTGATCGGGTGTCGAAGCGAAGACAGCAGCGGAGGACGTATCTTTGGAAATTGGCTGGAGGCCTACTGGTGAACGGGTGGTTTTGGGATGAGAGTACACTCGTACGTTATTGTCGGCCGATGTCAGAGATACCAGAGGTCGGTTTAGTGTCAGAATGAAATCGTCGCTGGACGAGCGCTGGGCGAGATAAGGACGAGGTCCGGATGAGGATGACGACCTGCATCATGATTTGTGAAGAGGTGACAAGTGACTAGATATGGGGAGATTCATCCGGAGACTTCGTAATATCGAGTTCCATCCGTCTTTGCGATAATTCGAAATTCAATTGGGCTGCGCCCGAATTGATTGTACGTGTAAGGACCAATTTGATCCCGTCGCATTCGTGCCGATGACGTGATCATCGAACACTTCAACGATCCCGCGATAAAAGCCACGAAGTAGGATCTGAAGAATAAGAAGAAACGCTAAAACCATGGTGACCTATCTCTAAAACTATCTGCAGGACGAATTTTTCGGTGGATCCTTTTCGGATAAGCACTAACTTCTCCGACGGTGTTCCGGTCTGATGTAAACATTGCCGGAGCCAATCCCGACGCCTCGAACGGTGCGTGCTGTTGTTCGAGATGCACTTTACGGTGAAGGACACGTGTGCCACACGGTTTCGTCGCGCGATCACTGAGCTGTAGCGAGGTCTGCACGGCGGAATCACTCGCGAGGAGGACCTCGAGTCATCGGGAGGGCGGTGTCACTCCAGCTGGAAGCGATCTCCTGCGAGAAGTCCTCCGACCGGGTCCCCGACAATGGATTCTCAGCAGCTTGTCGACTCGGCCTCTCAAAATAGTCAGGACATCGTTTTACCAAAACCGGCCAGCAGCACCCCAAGGCACAGCATCGACGCGATTCTCGGATTGGCCAGCCATAAAAGGACTCATCAAGAGATGGAGGACACCAGCCGCGACACGCAAGAGAACACTGGTACTAATTTCACACCAATTTCATCACCAAGCTATCATCAACGTTTCACGTCCCTCATGATTCTCGCACACTCACACACTTTACCTTCAACGAGAAACACCGCTCTGTCCACCCTCCGAATGAAATCCTTCGCAAGACAATTAGAAAGCCGGATTATCGGACGACACGTCCGCACGTGCGAACGTTCCGATGCTTTCACGGTCCGACTTGAGACCAACGAGTCGTTACGCAAATATCTCAACTAAACGCGACGCAAAGGCAAATCTCAAAAGTCGCTGCGACCCGTCGGACGGATCCGCGCGAGAGGTGAACCCCGTTTCCGAAAGTCCTCCGTGTTACGTGCGAAGCACGTCAATTTTCCAATCACAGGACGACGACTCGTGGCGCTGCCCCTCGAGACCCATTAACGAAGTAATCTCGATCATCCGATCCATCCACTCGCTCCTTTGTGTGACCGCCCCCTCCGTCCGCGGTTTGTTGATCGCTGTCGCATCATCAATCACCCTGCAGATATCGCGCGGACCCTCGTCCGATCGGATATTTATCGCCGCGTTTTACAACTCATTTGTCAGTCGTTTAATAAGATTTCATCCCAGATTTCCCGGGCCGCGTTGCTTGCGGCCGGTCGTTCGATTTTCCGACGCGCGTTCACCAAGGTACCGGGTTGCGAAGTAACTGGCAATCCGGACGCCGTTTAATATAAATTTCAATGGTATCACTGCCCCGAAACGAGAAATCAATGGCCCGCTAATAGCCGCTTAATTCGGGTAAATCCGAACGAATTCCGGCCGACGGCCGCGTTTTCCCGCGCGGGCTCCGATCATTTTTTTCGCATTTACGGATTAATTCAATCAGCAGACCTGCCCGTCCCGCGCTGTGACGTTGAATCTTGCATCCCGCCGCGACAGACGCGATTAGCCTCTCGCCTCTGTCTGGCTGTTGCGTTACGGCCAGTAATGCCACTTGATCGAGTTTCGATTAATTATCGCCGGGGTCGCGCTTGGTCGATACCGGAAACAAAATTTAAGAAGAACGAGGCAGAATCTGCCGGCGCACGTCGTCGGAGATTCGCGTCACGACCGTAGGGATGAAGGACTAATGAATCGCACGCGCAAATTCGCGCGGACGATTCGCGCCGGCGAAAACGGAAAACGCTGTAATATATACACGCTGGCTCCCATATGTGTCGGTAGTCGTTGAAACGTGTAAATCTTGTCTAATAATAACACGCTAATGGCGCATTACCTACGAATACACCCGTTGCTCCACATAATGGCCGTGTTCGTTGCGTGATTTTCCACTTTACTGATGAGATCAATTTGCCGCATGCTACCTATTCCACTTTTTTTCTTCTTCTCACTTCCGCAAGACATTTATGCGTTCTAACGCTCAACGCGCGGCACACCTCCTCGCGACCGATGGAAATTCCCTCCGACCACGCGCACGTCCCCCCTCCCTCCTCACACACACACACACACACACACACAGTCGTATTAGTTTATTTTTATTACACCCCGAAATAATTCACCTTGATGCCCCCAGCCGGTGTTATCCATGTCGATGATTAATGGACCGAGCGTTTTCGAAATCCGCTGACCGCTAGAAGACTGCTAATCAACGCGATCAATGATTAATCGTTGAAACACGATCTATGCGCGAGAGCGCATTCACGAAATCCCACGGATTCTCTCGTTAACGCCTCATTCGCCCAGCGTGATCATTTAAATCATTTATAGATCGCAATCGCTCCATCCCGACCGTAATCACCATTGTCAATCGTCATTCGGATTATAGCGTTAATTTCGCCCGCGTTGATACGCGACCAACTCCTCCCTTGAACTGTGCGTCGTCTCTGCGGCCTCTGACTGTTCTCTAAGGATATACGTTCTGACATCAATTTCCCGCGCGGAACCGATCGCATGGCCACCGACGCACGTGTAAATTCCGCGTGCGCGCCGCACTGAGAAAGAGAGAGAGGGGAGAGAGGAAGAGAGAGAGAGAGAGAGAGAGATAGTGGGAAGCTCGTCGGTAACGTTGGCGGTATAATTAGAAAATCGTTAGTTATCGCGGGTATCTCGCGTTCTGCGAGGTACACACGTGTACACGCCGCTAATCTGTCGTCGGACCGTATCGAGCGATCGAAATCGAGCCGCTGTCGTGCAACGGCCGCTGTCGTACGCCGACTGTTATACGGCGGCGGCGGCGGGCCAATGTAACGTATATCCGATAATTCCTGTTTCGAGACACTTCCGTGTCTCGGCTCGCCTACGCTGCCCGCGAACTGTCGTTCGTGTCATTCTGGAAGTGCGCGCACACCCGGGCGAGAGCGCGAGTTATCGACGCAACACTTTCGGCGGAAGGGTCAGAATCGACAAAACAATTTTGTACCGGCGCTGCCGCTATTAGCGCGGCCGCTGCGAGCAGAAAAAATGGCCGATCAACTATCGGCTGTCGGCGTAGACTCTCGCGTCCTTCGTCAAGTCGCGTGTCCGCGCCGGAGAAGCCGGGGGTGTGTTTCGATACTCGCCGTCGTCGTCGTGAAACGATTCCGTCAGATTCCGAAATATCGTCTTGTTATACGTCACGTTAATAATACCGGCTTCCGTAAGTAATCGACCTGCGACGGCACCGACACCTTCGCGCCGGCTCGTGGCGTGTTCGGCGCGCGTCAATTGCTCGCACGAATCATTCGCGTGGTACACGAGGTGCACGAGCGGATATTATACATGTCGGAATGTATTATTTCGGGGAGTCTCTCTCTCTCTCTCTCTCTCTCTCGTTATCTCTTTATTCTCAGGCTTGTCCTGAGTAACGTGAGCGGTTGTGCGCGCGAGTGGTTGTGTCGCGATTTGTCCGATGCAATGCCGCAATTTGTGTCTTCCGCGCGCGACCATCGACCGCGTTAGAAAGGTATTCTTCTCTCGATTTCTCTCTCTCTCTCTCTCTTTCTCTCTCGCCAGATTGATTGTAGCCATTCACCCACGTACGTGTACAAAATTTTTGAATACACAACTAATTCTCGTCGGCACTTACGTGATTGTAATAATAGCGCGGTATAAATTTCCAACGAAACCGCGCGTGTACACGTGTGCAAAGCGCATTTCGACGTTATCGGTGGATCGACCGGTTACCGGTCGTCCTGGACTCCGTGCAAAAGTAGCCTGCAATTACTTTAATTCGGTCCGTTACCGCGTCGGATACCATCCCCCTCTCCTCCACACTTGTCCGCGAAAATCGAACGACGCGCGATCTCGTTTGGAGCGAAGTGAACGCGAATGAAATCATCGCGAGACGTCCTTATCTTATTCCGGACTGTACAAGCCTGCGGTGGAGACCCGTCAAGCTTAATATGTTCGACGTGGGATTAATTGTCAGCGTTTATTCCCGGGGATTCACGTTGATCGTTCTCGAAGGGAACACCGCGAGGAGCGAAAGACCCCGGGGGAGGGGAAGGGTGCGAGAGAGGTACACTAGCAATGAGAAAGAGAGAGAGACGGAGAGGCTGCTTAGTCGAGACCCAATCTTGTCCCGCTAATCGAATTATCATTAATTATGATACCGTGCGCGCGCGAGGAGGAGAAGAAGGAGGTAAAAAGAGCGAGGACCAGCCGCCGCTAATAAGTATGAAGCAGAGCGGAGGAACGACGAGCAGCGAGAGAAGGAGGGAAAAAATGAAAGAGTGAGAGAAAGATAGAGAGATGGGGGGGGGGGAGAGGGGGGAAGCGAAAGAAGAGAGAAAGAAAGAAAATAGAAAAAGGGAGATAGGTGGAAGCGGCTTTAAGTCGCTTCTTAAGAGGTGAATTGACGTGCCTACTAATGGATCGCGCCTGCCACATCTCCTTTCTTCCTCTCTCACTCACGCCTTCGCCTTTTTTCCTTCGTCTCCTCTCCTCGTCCACTACCGCCGCACTCACTCGCGGCCTTAACAGCGAGGGGCTAACAGGGTCTGTTATCCGCGGTGAGAATCGGCCGTCTACCGTGCGCGGCCGCGATTGATCGAAATTAACTCGCTGGAATAACCGATGACCGTTGTCACGAGACGTTGTGCGCGAGAACGCGATATACGCGATTATTTGTATACGTGTCACCGTGCCACATTGTGACTCCGGTGTGTTTATCGCTGTCCTTCTCGTTTCGGCTCGCCGGCCTTAAAACACGGTCGCATTCTCGGGCGAACAGGCCTCAAAAAATTGGGCCGACGAAACCGATCCCGCGAGAAGATCTCTCGTCGATTCTCGCCGGTCAGCATCGCGTGGAGAATTCGGCCGCGATCCGGCCGCACGCGTTCGTCTTTTTATTTCTTTCCGTTGCATTGCTTCTTTTTCTTTCTTTTATCGCCTCTTATTATCCCGCCGCTCGCGCTCTTTACACCCGATTCTTCACGTCTGATTTGAAGGTAATAAGACACCATTTCCCCCGCGCGGTTACTGTCCTTAAAGTAAAGATAAATGTATAACGAACTATTTTTACAGCCAGCTCTCGATACGCGCGTACCGTTAATTGTGGATATCATTGCAGCAGGGCGCGCGTGCGCGAGCCCCCTCTTCCTTTTATTTAAATCAAAGCGCTCACCGTTCGCAAATAATTCTCGCCTTTTACGTGCAATTTCGTCGTAATCGCGATTAATATCGCGAGCAATATCGGAGAGAAATATTGCGCGACCCAACGTCCCCCGCGTGCGGATGAGGAAGGACGGAGAGTGTAAGATAAATAATAGTAGGATAAGCCAATTAAGCGACATATTAGCTCGAGCAAATGCGAAACCGCGCGGTTCGGCGCGCGAAATCAATTCCGCGACGTATGCGCGAACGACGGGCGACATTAACACACTTGGAATTAATTCCTCGTCGTGCGAGTTACGAGTGTCTCCCAACTCGACTCTGTCTAATTCCTTTTAACGCCGTTGCTTAACGTCGTTAACTTCACGCTTCATAATCTCATCATCCGCCTCGTAAGTTTCGCAATTATTCTGTCTAATTTCATTCCCGATACGAAGTCAT